CCACACTTGTGAGGACCTACTGTGTGCTGCCAGCACAATCGCAGCCTCGCGGCCATGGCTCGCCACTGTCATGAGGACCTACTGTGTGCTGCCAGCACAGTCGCAGCCTCACGGCCATGGCTCACCACAGTCGTGAGGACCTACTGTGTGCTGTCAGCACAATCGCAGTCACGCTGCCATGGCTCGTCACAGTCATAAGGGCCTACTGTGTGCTGTCAGCACAATCACACGGCCATGGCTCATCACAACCATGAGGGCCTACTGTGTGCTGTCAGCACAATCACACAGCCATGGCTCGTCACAGTTGTGAGGGCCTACTGTGTGTTGTCAGCACAATCACGTGGCCGTGGCTTGTCACAGTTGTGAGGACCTACTGTGTGCTGTCAGCACAATCACAGCCACGTGGCCATGGCTCGCCACAGTTGTGAGGGCCTACTGGGTGCCGAGCACTGGGTATTTGCACCCAGCTGAGCACAGAGGCTCATGTCTATAATCCCAGCACTTTGGGAGGCTGAGGCAGGCGGATCATGAGGTCAGGAGTTTGAGACCAGCCTGGCCAATATGGTGCAACCCTGTCTCTACTAAAAAATACAAAAATTAGCCGGGTGTGGTGGCATGCACCTGTAGTCCCAGCTACTCAGGAGGCTGAGGCAGGAGAATTGCTGGAACCCGGGAGGTAGAGGTTGTAGTGAGCAGAGACTGCACCACTGCATTCCAGCCTGGGCAACAGAGCAAGACTATATCTCACAAAAAAAAAAAAAAAAAAAATCTGTGCTCAGGTCGTGGAATCAGAGATGAAACCACACATGTGAAAGCAGTCTGAAACTGCAGTGCAATGTACAAATCATGGACGCTGTGTTTCTTGGAGAGGGACCCACAGAGCATGGGTTTCTAGGATCAATACCTAGAAACTGATCAGTGACAGACATTGCATTCACAGAGTGAGGCGTGTGTTCCGCCGGCTCCCAGCATGCTCCTCTCCAGAGGACGAAGGCCATCCAAGGACAGAGGACCGAAATTTTAAGAACTGGTCGTCTGAGGATCAAGAAAAGAACGACTCTGCAGTGCAGCCCTGCATGGCTGGCCCTTTCCCACTGAGGCAGGAGTGATTTTGCAGAGGGAATCCGTTGGTTATGCAGCCCAGAAGCCCCTGACCCCGCTATTTCTCAGGGGTGCTCTTATAATGAGGTGTTTCTGCCTCACATCAATACACTGATGAGGCGGGTTATGGGCTGGGCTGCTGGAATGAGAGCTGAGTGTGATGGGGAGCGGGTGGTCAGGGAGCCGGGCGCCAGCCTCAGATTGCAAGCTGCTCCCCCGAGCTGAGGAGGCCAATTAAGCAGGCAGTTTTCAAGCAACAACTGGCTTTAGCTGGAGGTTTTGACAAATAAACTGAGACACATCGACCGCTGTCCATGTAAAGACTCAGCCCAGAGGGCCAGGGCAGCAGAAAAAGCACCTGGTTCTGAGAATGAAGGCACATTCCTTTGTTTTAACCAGAGGTTTCACAAGTCAAATCGAAGCCCATGCATTCACAGTGAAGCTCCTCAAACATGTCTCGTGAGCGCGTAACGAAGCATCACTGACTCAAATCTTACTAATTCTGAATTTCAGGCATGAAATCAGGGTGGGAGAACTTAGATGTGCCCTCGGTATCAGAGTCTGGCAACTCTGCGGCGTATACTACCAGATCTCTGT